ACTTTCATGTTTTGATTTTTACAGAAATTATGGGATACCCTCAGAAAATTGAAATCGAAGTTTACTCTACTGTCATATTTAAATTAATACAGGGTTTAACCTCACAAAATTTTTACTTTTTATCCATTACTACACTTTAAATGGGTAGCGTCCTGGCTGGCCTCTTGTAAACAATAACAATATACTTTCATGTTTTGATTTTTACAGAAATTATGGGATACCCTCAGAAAATTGAAATCGAAGTTTACTCTACTGTCATATTTAAATTAATACAGGGTTTAACCTCACAAGCGAGTGTGTTTGGTTACCCTTGATATAACCTATACCTAATTATATATACCGTTTTATAAACTTTGGCTCGGAAAATGGGTGACGAAAGTTAATATCAGAAATGTTAATATTCATTTATTTTAGCAAATATTTTGAAAATTGTGTTGTTTTTAACATTACAGAAATATGTTGAGATATAGACCGACCCAGTTACAATCTTACCTTCACCTCATCAGTGCAGCACTTATCATTCTACCCGATTAGAAGTACCACAGGTATACAAGGACCAGACTTAATGCTGACTTGTCTACGCAAACTATATCTCAACACCATTCTACCCCTGTCAAGAATTCACATGGATCATTTGATATGAATTCATCAAACAGTACAGAACTGAATGATAGTTTGAAATGGGATCCATATTTTGATCCTAGTAACTGAAACTGATTACTGTACACATGTTGTGCAGGAAAGGAAGTTTGTTGTATTTGACTTGTCTGGACAATCTGTGTAACAAATTAAAATGTTCAAAATGACGAGAAAGAAAAGTTGTCGTTGATAATTACCTTGTTTATCATGAAATATTTTCTTGGAAAAGTCAACTTGTGATTGGAAAAATGCCTGTGAGTAATATGGACAGACATTTCATCATGTATGACATTTTGAAAAAACTTTTGAATTTAGAATTTGTTAGCAAAATTATGTATCAAATTCAGAATTAATACCTTATTCCTAAAATTGAAACCACCTGGAAAGAAGAGCAACAAAATGTCTTTAGATTAATACAAGGTAAACCATGTACCATGATTCCCCTGGTTATAATGCAAAATGTGGTACTTACACAATGATGGAATAAAAAAAATGGTTGATTTGTCTGTCACAATGGAGAAGGAAGGCTTTCATGGATAAGCTAATTTCAAAGCCAAGCACTGTAGCTACAGATAGACACGTGTCAATTAGTGTTATTTAAATAAAATTCCTGTTATTAACAATTTGATGTGTGGCAAAAAATAAACTGGCTGACATAAAAGCTGTAAAGGTTTATTGGATTGGGTTAAATCTGTTGACCATCATTTATGGTTTTGTGCGAGAAATTGTTATTGAAATTGTCAAAAGCTGGTGGAAATGTGAAAATCAATATTGTTTCATGTTTGTAACAAACATCTTGGCATGGCAACAAACACTTTCACATGTGTTGCCATGACAATTTATCTAGACGCAACGGATGACAAAAATGGTTAAAAGTAGATATACCAACTTTTCGATTTCTGAATTAGAGATTACTCGGAGATTTTGCACATTTAAATCAATTTTGTCACACACTGGAAGTATTATCACTCAATGATGATTACATATGTGCCCAAACGTCTAGAGCTCGATTACTGGCAAATGGTAGCCAGAGTTCAGTTAACAGCTCTTGACCATAATAATAATGTAGATCAGAAATAAGCTGTAGTTCAGAAATCTAGCGAATACGGCCAACAAAGGAGAGTTGGAGTATAAAATCATAGTAAATGGGTTGTCCGTCGAATCTTGAAGTAACTGACCAGTTTAAATGTAATGTAATGTGCTGGAGTGTGTAATCGATAGTAAGCGCAAGTGCTTGAGTGTAAGTGTAGAAGTGACAAACTTGTGTGAATGTTGCTAAAAGGTACCACAGCCTTCAAAGCATGAATTAATTAATCACCATGTCTTTCGCTTTACAGGTAACACATTGTAATAAATGTTATATCAATGAGATGTGAATAATTTACAATATTATGTTGGGTAAATATTTATTCACACATAAACCATTTCAGGCTGTGACTGTGTCATCTTGTACATAATTGTAAAAAAATACACTTCACTGTAAAATGAATGAGTTATACCCAATATAATGTCCACTCTCTTTCGGGAACCTTTTTATAATCAACATCACAATGCATGATGGTATTACACGACGATTAGATTTTCAAAGTCTTCCTCCCCTTTGAGCCCATAACATAAGCTGCCGGTATGCCATCAAAAGAGAAGGACTGAAAAAAAATGGTGGCAATTATTGGCAGGCCTGATACCCAACAAGTTTGGAGCGAACCATTAGAAACTTGAAGAGTGACAAAGACACAAAAACTGCAAAATATGTTTATCCATGAATTGCTGTAATGTGGAATATTTTTTATTCCAATTGTGCCATCGCCCAAAAGTTTCTAATGGTCAGTCCCTAAGGCAATTTTATCAAACCTGGCCTTGAATCTATGCCCTCTGAACGTAAGTTCAAGCTCTGTAAAATTAGATTGATACACAATTATGTTTTCATATCATTTCCCCCAATGACGTTGCTTCATACAGTCATTATCTCACGAAATTTGTGTTTAAATCATCATGCCCACCTTCAGTTTTAAAATTAAAAAAACAACAATTATTTCAAGCGGTTGTTGGGAGAACGTTTTTAGTTTGTTCACTGATACTAACAAATTAGAATATATAATATCCCCTTTGTATTTTATTAGAACACTTTTGTTACGTTACCTATTAGTATGAGTTATGAATGACAACCCTTATAGTCTTTTGAATTCGTGAAACAGAACGTAAGATGTGGACAATACAGCCGGCTCCACACATACCAATAGCGACGTATTCCGGCACACAGCGAACACTGCTCAGTTCACCAAAACAAAAACATTTTTGAACACTTGGCATGGTTACACACTTGCTACACGGTTACCGCGATGTATTAGAAAGTCGTACTCGATCACAGGACACCGGACCGCCCAAGTCCTCGCTGTCAGGGTCACTCGCCGAATCTCCCACTGAAGTGTCGGTTCCTGTGTTGGAATTAGATGCCATTGAGTTGATCGAAATCTCGTCTTCACTGTATTCTGGTTCATAGCTATAACCAACAATGTCACTTCCAGGTGAATTGGAATCCACATATCCGATAATACCCAACAATTATAAAACTTGTTACAACGCAATTATGGTCGCTTTGAAGCATCCCTGAACGCAGTAGCTAGGCTGTGTGTCGTCATTGCCGGTATAGTGTGGAAATATTACAGGGGGTGCCGCTTTTTAACCGCTAAGGGAAATTGTCAAAACATAATTCAATTCGTCATTATTTGATAAAGTTTTCCTTCTGCAAACTCATAGTTTGTGGGTGACCTTCCCCTTTAAGATATCTACGTGAAAACGCAGATGTATTCGTATCAACTTCCTATGCTATTATTTGTTGTGAAAGGACATCACTAATCTTGTTGGGACTTCCGACTATGACCTTTTGGTATTCGCCGTAAAGTTCACTAGTTTAGTTCTATGACACACTCGACTTTGCCGAATATGTATGTTAAGTATGTTATTTCCACACTATACCGAACGTCAAATTCTAATTTTTTATAACACGAACTAAAAACATTGTGGGTGTGGGAATACAAACACTCTCCATGGACAGTTTCATTATCCTAACAGCAGTCATCATAAATGAGTATCTGTACAGGTTAGAACATATGATATATTCCCATTATAGATAAACAGAAACGGTGTAGTTGGCATTATTTCAGATTAGCACTAATCTCCAAAAGATACAAGAGTTAATGTTTCGCAGGAAATCAGCAATTGGAATTGCATAAAAGAATGTGGATCTCATGCAACAGTCATTCGAATATATTCATTTGAAC